TGAAATTTGATTTATTATGTTAATTTTTAGAACATTTTATTAATACTTCTAATAACAAAAAAAATTAAACATTAAATGAGATCGGTAAGATGACGATCATGTCCTTAATGACTTAATTTTGATCTAACGTTTCATATTTAGATCTCGTGAAACTACGATTTCCTTTGGTTATTTTACGAAAATGCTAAATTTTTAGATATTTTTTAAAAAAGTCATTAATATTTTTGGCTATTTTTGTAAATTTCTCTTATTTTAAACAAAAACAATGTGTTGGTACGATTATGAAGAAATAGGAACAAAATTAATAGATACTATTGTTTAATTCTGTAACTAATAAAATTGAAAGAATGCCAAAACTTTTTCTTTTTCCTTTTTCAGTCCTTTCTTTTCAAACTCATAATGCAACATGCTTCCAATATACAAATTTGAGACGCTACAATACACAAAACTTGATAAAATGCAATAATAAATAAACCGACTACAAAGTGTTCCCCACCGGCAGGGCCGAAATTGTACCCGAGACTCCATTCAAGCTGTACAAGTTCCTACGTTTAACAGCTGAAAATAAAAATTTTAAAAATAAAATCAAGTATTATATAAATAATATTTTACTCCAACTCACTTGACGTTTATTCCATTATTCCTTCTCCATATACAAAACCTCCAAAAATCTTATTTTGTCCCAAGGATTTATACATATCATGATAGGGAGTGAACTCTTGCATACATGGCCTTCCTATCTTGAATCGCCTTCTGAAGGTCCGTAAACATTTCCATAGACAAGCCTGAAAAGTTACTCAACTGTCCAAGAAACCCCTCCAATCTCAACCTTAACCGATCAAAACGGTCCTCCAAAAGTTCATCATTTAACAAATTCACCCCTGCAGGATCATGATGATGATGATGATCACTTTTAGCAACATTCTTCTGCCATGGTAAAGAAGGGCTAGCGAATTTACCCTGGGCTTTTTCTTGGGGGATAAAGTGATCAATTTCAGCAGCTAAATCTTTTATGGAGTCTGCAACTTCTTTTGTTGGTAAAGTTTCAAGCTTTTCTAGCCAGATACCAAGGGTGACGTATATTGGTGGGCCATAGTCACGTAACAAGGGCTGTTGTCGTCTTTTTTTCTTGGTGGATTGTTGTGGTGGGACACATTTGTGAAGCCATCCGTCTAAGGATTGGACATACGCTTTTTGGGATCCGATCCATTTCGTAAAACTTGATGATAAAGTTCTTAATTCGCTTTCCAGGTAGATGGTGATCTGGCGATGTGAGTCTGATTGTAGTGAGATTTTTGTGTGTGAATTTATTTGTATTGATGATATGATTGACAACTGGCTCTTATGGCATTCATGCATCATCTCCCACATCTTCCTCAATCTGTCATTAAATATAATATATATAATTATTAATAGGTTGTACTTTGTTTCGTCCAAAAAGATGGGATATAAGAAAAAAGACGTGAATGCCCTTCCCATCCTCTTGAATTAAGCATAGTGAGTTAGAATTTAGAAGGAAGATAACATACCCTTGAATCAACTCTTCGAGTTGTGGGTGAAGTTCTTTGTCTCTAAGATCTTCGATTCTTCTTGATATGGAGTCGATTCTGTGGATAGCAACTCCAATTCTCCAATGAAGATCTTTAACTATGGCACGAGTCTTGTCTATTCTGCGGTTACTTTCTCCATTGGATTCTAATTCCCGTAGAAGTTTGCGCTTTTGATCATACACCTTTCTGATCATCTCATTTGCCTGCAAGTGTTGTCAATAAATAAATTTAAATATAAATCATAAAAAAAAAAAAAATGAATGTTCATACTTTAATAAGAGGTACATCTTGCATTTATCTCTAGAAAGAAATCAAAGTCGGATGATATAACTAACCACCCAAATCAATCAAAATAGGTTGCGATTTTCTTTCATCTAGTCCAGAGAAGAATATTGAATACCTACCTTAACTTCATCATAAAGCTTCTTCTCCCATGCATAAAGCCTATCCAAAGTGGAAGCATGGCTTCCTGCATTCATGTAGAAGTTATCAAAGAGGCTGCTGTTAATGTCCTCCTGATTTTGATTTTGACTTTGACTCGTGTTGGCATTCGGACTCGGATCATGTCTGAAGGATGAACCACGAGATGATGTTGTCCGAGGCCATGTTAAGTACTTGGTGTCATTTTGAGCAGGTTCTAACTCAAAAAATAATATAGAAATCAGAAAATTAAATAAATAAATATACCCTAATGATTTATAATGTAATATTTCAGGCATTCTATGTAAAATTTCATTTTCCCATCAGTAATAAACATAGCTTGTGATCCCTGTTTATTTATGTACATTGTATACCTCCTATTTTTCATTCTGTAATTTATATAATCCAACTTCCCCAAAAATCTCACATCTGCTAGCCAAATAAATAAGAACACAACATGTTTTACAACAATCTTTCTGAGCCATTCTGTTTTTCAAGAATTGGGATGATCAGAATCACTAGGCCTTACTTTTTAAGCATTAAGGCCTTACTTTTTACAGATCTGCCCTCATTTATTTTTTCCTTCCATTTCCCTAAGTTTGCCTTGATTTTCTCAATTACTTTTTAAGCATCATTTAATTTTATCCAGACATCAATCACTTCATCCTGACAGCACTAGATGGGAAATATAATAATTACTATTTACTAATTACTAGAAACATGAACAGGATTATATAAATGTATCTTCAAAGTTCAAACAGCAGTGCCATGAACCAAATTCTTAATATAACTCATAAAATATGCTGATTTACACTTATTACAACAGGGAGGCTTACCTTCCTGCACTTGGCTTGGATCATCCCCACACGCAAGACATGCTTTTATAAATTTTGAACTGAATGACCCACCTGCCACATTAAAAAAAATAAAAAAAATCTTGGCTGAATATAAAGCTTATAATATCTTCAAATTCCTCACAATATAATAATTTATAAGTGGAGCTTACGTTCTTTTCCAGGGAAAATTGGACGAAAATGGAGCTTGTTGGCTTCAAGCATTCTAGGAACTTCTCTTCCACACTCAGAAGCTCTAACAAAAAGATTCTCAATCTCTCTCATACTTGAAATAAAATCTTTAGGTACAGGTTTACTTTCATGACCTTTTACCACTTCAATCTTTTCATCTTGAGAGATACCAACATGACTAACACCAGAAGTTTTTCGCTTTAATGGTGAAATTTGGGGAGAATTAAACTTGTCCCCATTCAAGATTTCAGTTTCTGCTGATGACATTGAATGTAAACCATTACCAGTCCCACTAACATTATCTGCTACCCTATTAACATTCTCAAAACTTCTAACCAACCCATCTGTTGATGGCTCATCAAACTCATCTTCTGATTCTTGACCCATTTCTGAAATCTTTTCATCTTTGTAATTTTCCACTCCTTCATTCAATTCCCTCACTTCATGTGGAGAAAACCCATCATCGATTGGATGTGAAAGACCAAAATAATCCCAAGGTTGACTTTCAGGACCACCAAATGGGGTTTCAGGTTCAGGTTCAGGTTCCAGTTCAGGTTCATCTATGATGTTTCTTGGGGTACTTGAAGAAGTTACTGAACCCATGACAGCTATAACTGGCTTTTCTTCAACTTTTCTAGAAAATGAGCCTCTAATCTTCATATGATTTGTGTAATACCTACTAGAGGATGGTGGGGAAGGAGATGGGGATAGGTTTCCAGGTGCATTTATATGTTGTGACATGGTTGAAGAGAAAGAGAATTGAGAAAGGGATTTTTCGATGAATGTTTGTGGCTCAGGAGTTGCATTAGTGGATGTGTATAAAGAGGATTCCATTGGAGCTTCAGGTTCAACAAACCTACTTAATGCTTTCCCTATAATTGTTAGAGACTCTATGTATGTAAAATGAGTGGCTGCAAGTGAACATCTTCCATCAAGTGCTCTTCTAACAAACTTTTTCCTTTCACGACATAGCTGAAGAGCCTTATCTTCTTCCACTTTTGAGTTTGTGGCACCCATTAACCCGATCTTTCTTCTTGGATTGCCTTACTGCTTATCTATCCACACATCACATGGACTTCTTCTGCAAGTTCACAAATTTTATATAGTGTGATTTGTTTATTCACTGTTCAAACTGAAGCATCAGGCATTTCCTAGAAAGCAGATTGGAAGGGTAGATACAGATGTTCTAAGAAATATTGACATGTAGATGTAAATGTATTCATCAATATCCTTTTTTGTTGAGTTGGTAAAGGGAAAAGGGAATCTGAATCAGATACCCCAAATGCACACCCCTCAAAAAGAACTAGTTAACAATCAGAACTAGGAACTGAGAAAATTGTTAATCCAACCAGAATATATAATTATAACTTTCCAACTTACCGTAGAAGATACACAGTAACCTCAGACTTGCAAGCTGCAAAACAAGCTCTATGAGCTTTCACAAGCTGTAACTGTAGTAAAAGGAAGACAAGGATTTACTATCAGATACGATTCTCAAATCCAATCAGTTCTTCTATTCCAATTAAAAGAACACTTCACACAAAATAAAACCCAAATTCAAAAAATCAATACTGGCGACCTAATTGATGAATCGTGCTACACATCAAATTGAAGCTCTTCAACCATGAATTTAACTTTTGAAAAAAGCACAAAAGGAATAAAGCGATAATTACCCACATATTTTATGATTAAGAGATCGAAAACTTCCGAGTTAAGATGTAAGAACACGGTACTGTGAACAGCATAATTCAGATATGACAAACTTAAAGTGAAAAGCTAAATATTTTGCTTGAAACGGAAAAGGAATAACCTGAAACCAAGAAGAACTGAAGTTCACCTGACCAATAGGTTACAATTATAGAAGAAGGGTAGAGAAATTGAGTGACGGTGAGCGGCGGAGAGAATCGATTCGAGAAAAGTGTGGTTCGTTCATGCAAAAGCAAAGAAGGAAGGGGACGAAAGTGTGTGAATGTGAAGCGTGGGGTCCGCCATATGCAAAGGTCCAAATTGGTAAACGTAAAGAAATATTAGAATCGATCGGATCAGGAGGAAAGGGTGCTTTGCTGGGTTCGCCGTGGGATTGGAGCTTCTCTTTTACTTTTTAGGAATGGATTTTTAACTTCAAATAGAATAACATCATTTAAGATTCCTTGAATAATTAATTATATCACTTATGTTAACTTTTAATTAAATTAGTAAAAAAAATTATATTTTTCATATGGTTTTGTCTGGTATATAAGTTTTGTTTTTATCATTTTTTTTTCTTTCAGATCGTCTATTTGATGTTTTTGTTGTGATTTTCATCACTAAATGTCATCAAATAACCAAAACATGTCATAAAAGAGTACTATCAGAGTACAACTCCCGAATATCTCATATGCAGAAAAATCATAGTGTGATGCGTTGCGATCATGCCGACTCTTTTCCTTTCGAAGAAGAAGTACCTGAAACCAAAACTGAAGACCGTAAGCACGAAGTTTAATGAGTTCTCTCATCATACCACATAACAACATACTGGCAGACATATCTGGGTGTCCGGCCTACCCTGTCAGGCATATATGGGTGCCCGACCTACCCTGTCAAGCATATATGGGTGCTCGACCTACC